GGTTATTTGGTGTCCTAATTACGATGGACTGGAGAAATGTAAGAAGCTTCTGTCAGCAGTTCGCGCGGGCCGCCTCCTACACATCGTCTGACCGACGAGAAATTCATCACGGTTGAGGTCGCGCACGACAGCCAAAACCAGCGGCAACTGCTTAGTCCGTCAGTGAAAAACTCCGGGGAACGACAGGTAAAAACCAGGAGCCTCTTCTTGAAGTCGGTGATGTTTGGGCCGGGATAAGACCAGAAAGCAAGGCTCCTCTCGGTTTTATTGATAAAAACATCAAAATCAACTCGAAACTGCCAGAATTTTATTTTAAGAAACCCATGTGTCCTTGAACACTTTGAAGGAAGAAATTTTATTCTGCAACAAGCTCTTATACTGTTTCACGCTGCACCACTTACGTCCACCAAATCCCTCGAAAAACCACTTTAAATTGCCTCGCCATTCACTCAACAATTACTAATCCCACTCAACACCTGATTGCGACCCCCTTCCCGAAACCAACCAAAACCCTTGTTGGAATAGTGCGAGCGCACGGATGACCATAATCCCATCATGGAAACGGTATGAGCATTTCGGGTTTGTGCTTTTTTCATAGCTTGAATACGAAACTTTTCGGAAACCGTGCTTGGAGGATGCGGTCCAACTGGGATGTAAAAGCAGTAATACAATGCAGTGAGGGAAAATTCAATCAAAAATCGATTTCAACACCACCTCAATCCTCCGACGAACAAGCACACGACCCACCATTTTCCGTGTAGGGAAATTGGATCTTTCCAAGCCAGAACCAGGATTTCCGTCACGCCAATTCCATCGCACTCTCAAAACATTCAACTCATAAACGTCAAGTTTTCACGTCTTTAAGCACATGCTTGGCCCAAATGCTGTTTCAATAGATATAAATGAACAGTGTTTATAATAGCAAAATTTCCACTACTAGGTAGTTCATGTGGTGGCAGTGGAGAAGCGAAGTTTATTAACTTTCAAAGCATATATATTGCCATTTTAAGAGTTCTGTGCTTGTTTCTATTAATTGTAGTTACATGTTCACATCTCAGAACCTCTTCTTCTAATCAGCTGCTGGTAATGTATGCGGATGGAAAGGCCCACTGTGCCGAAAACCCCTGAGTGGCCACATGCATACTGATAGACTCTGAGAATATAACAAGTTAACGATCGAGTTCAAGGCATCATATATGGTTCCTCACCGCTAACATTTGAAATAATTTCCCGGCTGGATCAATGACCGCTATTTTTCGTTATTTTGAAATGTTTGCTTTCGGAAGTCGAAGCTTAAACCAAACTGCAAATTATAATTTTATTGGGTTTATGCATAATTGTTGCGGATTTTTTTTCGCGCTTACTTTTTTTCGAAAAGACTGGCGTTTTGTTTATTCATGAAAACACTATTTGTTCATGAAAACATTCTTTTCTCTTTTATTAACAAAACTGCTTATCGAAAATCATCATCCATATTTGCCATATTGCTCTACCACTTTGACAAAGGTTGGAAGGCGACAGAGTCGTCTCGCGATTTCGACGAGCTTTAACTCGAGGGAGCAATTAGCAGAAGCCAAGTTGAAAGCTGGTTCCAGAGGTTCAAAACGTTACATTTACCGACTGAAGCCCCTACCACCTCAATCAGTCATTGAAACGAACAAAATTTACGACTAGGTGGGTAACTTGGCGGCCGAGGTTGGAGCATATATGTCTACAAGACTCGTCTCTTCTCCACCCGTGGAATCGACCTACTGCCAAGCAAATGGTAAGCGATTCTGAATGGTTGTGTCTACGCTCTGGAATAATCACTTTAACGTATTTTTGTTAAATATCTTTGTGGTTTTCTCAGAATAAAATTTGTTGAAAAGGCCGCAATAATTATGCATCAACCCAATAAATTGCATTGATTCGTATAAGCTGTGTGGTCATATCAGCTGAGACATCACAGACCCACCTGGTGTTTTGCGTTTCCTTCTTACTTACCTGTTTACTGCATTAGAAGGGTGGGAGAGTGAACAAAACATTTTAACCCTGGAACTTGCACGTAGAACACAGCACCGTTTAAGTTAATGTTTTGTTCTGTATTTTGCCTTGTTTCAGGTTTTGCGTTTAGTCATCACTTCTCACCGCGTTTTTATAGCTATATTTGTTGTGAACTATAGAGTAAATATATAAAGCCTGAAAAAATGGGCATGCGCGAAGAAGTGGTCCCAAGGGTGCAATCCATAACAAGATCACGTTCTCACTCTCGAACAATGGCTACATATTTAAATGCTTTTGGCATGATTTTCGATCAGATTGTCAATATTCAAATATTTCTAATATTTTGCAGATCACTACTCTCATCTCAAAGAAGGGTAAGCTTCGGTCGAAGTTGATGGAAAGCGCTTCTGCATTGATGTGTTGAGGTCTACAACATTCCTAACAATGAATCTCCTGTTATTTCAATTTTTCCTATGCCGTCTGAGGTAAGATGTTCGATATTTCGATTAGGGTTTTCATTGAAAACGATGGGATTCAGACATTTGTTAGGATTTTTCACCGTGCCTACGATGGGATGGTTATCTAGTACGCTGGCAAGTTTCTTTGCAATCATCATCGAGAAGGCTTCGCGAAGGCCACCGCTAGCGCTTTATACAACAAACCTGGCAAGCTTCATAAACCTCTCTCTATTATACTAGAATTTTACCTATATGAATGTATAGCCCAACAATTGCAGGCGTCGGAAACGCTATTTCGTCAGCTTTACAATCATGGTTATTTGTTCAAAGTGAGACATGGAGAATGTATACCGTTTGCTATTGGGATCGGTCTATTGATGCTTCAGTATGCTCGAGGAGTGCTTCATCCGTCTCTCAAGAGAATTGTCAAGTTAGTTGAAGAGAAAAATGAATAAATAAGGCTCAGCGTGACGAGGGCGGCCCGAAGCAGGCGAAAGATTGCGTTTTTGAACATGTATCAATGACATCAGTCTACTATAGAACTAACAAGGGAAAGATGGCAGGTCGAAGTGGCTGTTTGGAATTAGATGTATAATTCTGATGCGTTTCCAAACGCTGATTCCAAATTTGTCTCGCGAATCGCAATCTGCGAATCGCGAATCGCGAACAAAATTACGGTTTTTTTTTACCCAAAAATGGTGTGATGGCCTAATGGTTAAAGAGGCTGACTTGCAGATCCGACGCTAGAGGATCGATCAGTTCGCGTGGGTGGGGTAGCCATGATAGTGGAGGTCCGTCTAGTAGCTGGTGCCTTTAATATTACCTACGAGTAAGACTGTTGGGGGTGGGGGGGGGGAAGGCAAGAAGATGCTGATTGTTATAACTCAATGTAGGGTCAAATGAAGGTTCCTACCATGAAAGCGACCTTCATTTTAAGCGGCGCGCCCTCACGACCTTTTCCTGACATTGATCACTACTCACGTTCACGGCTCCCGCGTTCCAGCACCTTTTTGAAGTTAAGGTGAACTAACAGTATGTTCTGAGATATAGTTAGTACTTATGAACACGAATATTGCACCCGCTTGACGTGAAAACGCCTACTACGCAGGGTGAGAATCGCTTGAGGAAACGATAACTACTCGTCGAGGATTTCTTTCACGCTCTCCCACGCGGATGCTCACTATCGTCACCCGCGAGCCGTCTGTGCTGTCCACGCATGCATCCACTCCCGACACTACTCCCGCACAGTAGAGAGCCATAGTCTAGGAATTCCTCGACCGTTATTCACCCTGCCACAACGGTGCTTTTTGAGCACACTTTGAAAAAGTGCAAAAAACTCTGGAACATCAAAAACTCAAACCCTTGGCATTGCAGGGACGAACCGCCGTAGTATCCACTAGGCCACCCTTTCACAGGCTGTGCGTGCGCATCGTATTCGTGCTGAGCTTGAGTCTGCTCCTTATTAGAGCAGGTTCTGTAGCTTTGTTAAAAGAAACGTTCAGCAGATATGTAGATACCAGCTGGCGCCGCACGCATTGCGCGCCGACACAGATCTGCTGCGAACTTTGATGGTGCGACAAAAATTTTCATATTTGGCTTGATACACTACGAATATCTGAATCCTCAGCTAAATTCAATCCGCTCCATCATCGACGGCTTTCAACCTTTTTTTCTTCGTCAACCATTATCCTCTTTTTCTCGGTCTCCGGACTGCTTCCGGACAATAAATTTTGTGGCAAACTCCGCCCACTTCGGTGCGTGCCCCGCCCACCAATAGCATTTGGCCCCCTTCCTTTCGCCGACCTCTACCCCTTCTTTCACCGGTCTCTGGGACCTCTTGGAACCAAATTACGACACTTTTGGCAAAACTCTGCCCAATTATGTGCATGCTCCGCCCAGTAATAGCAGTTTACCTCCTTCCTTTCTCAAGACCTCCGGGACTTGTTGGAGCCGAGTTTTATATTTTCATCGCAGACTCCGCCCACTTTGACCAAGCCCTGCCCACCGATGACAGTTAACCTCCACTCCTCCACCCAAATCTATCCTCCTTTTTCCCGGCCTCCGGAGCTTCATGGAGCCGACTTATGAATTTTCGTCACAAACTCCGCCCACTTTGATCAAGCCCCGCCCACCATTGACAGTTGGCCTCCAATCCTCCATACACCTCTATCCACCTTTTTCCGGCTCTTTAAGACTTCCCCGACCCGAATTATGAGGGCTCGTAGAAAATGCTGTACACTTCAGAGCGCGCCCCGCCCATACTGAGCGGGCCTCCGCCCACGTCGTGCATGCAGGAAACACCTTAGAGATTG